TATTTGGGGTTCTAAACTATCAGTAGGAGCTAGCAGAATGAGAAAAATATATTCTGAATGTTTGAGGCTTGACAAGGCTTCTGGGTGATTCTGGAGAGCTCGAGATGTATATCATTCAAGTCGTCCAATCTCAAGAAAATTCTAGTCTGATGAGGCGGGGCAGCCCCTCCTAGCACAGATACACAAGTGAAATAGAAGACATACAGGCATGTTGGGAGTGCTGTTCGGACTCCAGACCTGTCCTGGAGGCTGGGGCAATCAGGGAGGACTTCCTGTTGGAGGTGATTCCATGAGTGATCTTCTGTAAAGTGTAGAAGGCTGTCAGGTTGACAACACACGTGAGATTTATTTCCTGAACTTTGTTAAGTCCCATGTAGAGGTTCTTGACTGGATATATCCTGGTGCTGCTAGGCTCCCAGAGAGGAGAGACCCCAGGTCAGCCCTGGAGGAGCCCTTGGACCGGTGGGAGAGATAGTCACGGTGCAGGACGCCACAGCTAACCCCTCCTCACCGGCTCACTCGGCGGCCACAGCATCCTGACCACAGCAGCATCCTTACCGTCTTGACAACCAAACCCAACCCATGCCGTTGAGTTTAGTCGGTTCCGACTCAGAGCAACCCTCCCCGGGTTCGAGGCTGTCAGTGTTGATGGGAGGAGACTGCTCGTCTTTCTCCCACAGGGTTGGTGGAAGATTTGAACTGCCTACCTTTGGGTCAGGGAGCTCTGGTGGCCTAGTGGCAAGAAACTGCACTGCAGTCCCGAACTGCAGTCTCCTGGTTCGAGGCCACCAGCTGCTCTGTGGGAGAAGGATGGGCAGTCTCCTTCTGTGCGATTAACTGCCTCTGAAAACCCACTGGAGGGTCAGCTATGGGTCAGTTCCGACTCAAAGGTAAACAGCCACCGTCACTCCCTTTGGGTTATCAGACACGTACTTTCTGCACCAAGACTCTTGATTCCCACCACAGGGCCTTTGCACTGGCTGTTTCTGCCTTCAGAAAAGCTCTCCCTCAAGCCCCTTACACGTCCCCCTCAAAGGCCCCTCTCTGAGCACCCCGTTTAAAGCAGCTGCTCTCCCTGCCCTCCTTCCTCTCCCTCCTCTTAGTGGTTGGTTTTTGTCTGTTTTTTCTCTGAGGGAAACACCAGCGCTCCCTCAGATCATTTTACCACCAGCCAGCATTGCGTTACATATTTAGAGTCCGTGGGTCATGGCAAATGTTTAGCATGCTTGGCTGGTAACTGAGAGGCCATTCACGGCCACCCAGAGGTGCCTCGCAAGAAAGGCCTGGCAGTCCACTGCCTCAAAATCAACCCCTGAAAACTCCAGAAACACCGTTTTTCTCTGACACACATAACTCAAAAACTCACTCCACTCCAGTCGGAACCAACGGGGGTTTAAATTACACGGGGGGTGGGGAGAATGACCCTCCCTCCTGTAGAGCCGCTGCTGGGTTTGAACCTTCAGAGGAATGGCCTTTGGGTTAGCAGCACAGCTCAGAACAGACTGCACCACCTCGGACACTCCCGGGCTCTGTGAAGACGAGCTTCCCCCTCGGACCGTTTGGATTCCTTACAGTCTGTCTGTTGAGGGACCTGGGCTGTTGGACTGTGAGGTTTCTCCCCATCTGGATGTAGCTCAGCGTGTTCTGGGCACAGATGCTTCTGTGTGTTTTCATTGTGGAGTTAGTTGCCGTTGACTCAGTCCTGACCCACGATGACCCCAGATATGCTGCTCCACAGTTTCCAAGGCTGGGACCTTCCCCCACAGTCCTCTGTGTAGGAGCAAACCTCCAATCTTCCAATAGCATTCGATCCCTTAAGCATTTCTTGCGATAGGAAAGTCTGCTGTTAGGGCCCTCTCTAAAGAACTGAAGAGCAATGGTGTCTCTCTGGAGACTAAGGTGCGTCTGCTACAGGCCATTTGCAATCACTTTTATGCGTCAGAGAATTGGACAGTGACTAAGGGAGAATTGGTGCCTTTGAGCTTTGATGTTGAAGAAGAGTGTTGAGGGTACCATGGACTGCTAGGAAAACAAACAGATTCATGCTGGACAGGGTTAAACTGGGTGGCTTCTTGGAGGCAAGGATTCTGAGGCTTCGCCTGACATACCTTGGTCATATTGTAAGGAGAGACCAGTCCTTGGAGAGGGACATCATGCTTGGGAGGGTGGAGGGACAGTGCAGGAGGAGAAGGCCCTCGAGGAGATGGATTGATTCGGTGACTGGGGTAATCGGGATGGGTGTGTCAGAGGCAGTGCGATTGGCACAGGACAGAGCAGGGTTTAGGGCTATTGTACATAGGGTCGCTATGAGTCACAAGCGACTCTACGGCACCTAACAACAACAGGTATTTATACTTGGAATCCGGAGGCAAGAGGGATGTTTATTTTTGCACCTTTTCCCTTCGATAACCTTGTATGATTTAACCTTAATATTTTTCTTTTTCTGTCTTTTTTTTTTTACCCACCCTGTCTCCCTGCCGCCTCTAGCAAAATTCTGACCCTCAGCCTGGATGGGAGTGGGCAAAGTGTTTTGTCTTTTCCAAGATCATTAAGACACACATTTGGTTACTTTGACTTTCTCTGTCACCATTGTCTTTTACAATAAGAAGTTAGAAAAAAAAATTTTTTTTTAAATGATCTCGTCATCCCTCCGGTGTGTTCCTGTGATAAATGCAGTGTTACTGGAGAGATGTATGAATCAGGCCGGGTCTGACTCATATCCGTGTCCCCGGCACGGGGCCTCTCTCAAGAGTACGACCAGGGCCTGAATACCTAAACAGCAGCTATTCTGAGGGGTGATATTACACATTCTCAATGGAGTAGCTCTCACCTCTGGACCCAGAGTTTCTGAAAAGGACCCACATGTCACTCATGTCTGCACAAAGCTTGTTACAGACAAGGATGGATGGACCGACCCCACTCTAGACCTGAGTCCGACCTGGAGGCTGGGGATAGGGGGTCAGTGGTTTGTTGTTGGATTTGTGTTTTTTTTTGGTCACAAGCCCTGCAGATGATCTGTGGTGCAAACCAAAGTGTGACAACCCTTGGAACAGACACATTCGCAGCCCGAGCGAGCATTTATAGCCCTGGGACAACTCTGTGAGAGTCTTGTGAATGTCTGAAAATAGAAAAAAGGGAAAGAAAGTCTCTAAAAGGTTAAAACCCAGGGCTGGCACTGATGTTGGCAAACAAGTCCATCAGTGCGGTTCTCCTAATCTAAGTCTGTGCCTCTCTGGCATTTGAATGCGCTGGTTACTCCAGGGGAGAAAGATGGATAATCTCCTCTCCTTAAGATTTACAGTCTCAGAAATCCGGTGGGAAGGGGGGTCAGCTGGGAGTCAATTCTGCAATGAGTGAGTGGATCCAGAAAAGTTGCTGATATTTTAGTCTCTGCATTGAAGGAGCCTCCGTTCACTTCATCCTGGGAGGTGCCAGGGTTTAAAGACCACCTTCCCTCCGGAACCCCCTCATCCATCTCCCCTCTCCCACCTGCCGCAGGTGGAGTCCCTGACCACAGAGCTGTCCGCTGAGCGCAGTTTCTCGGCCAAGGCAGAGAGCGGGCGGCAGCAGCTGGAGCGACAGATGCAGGAGCTGCGAGGACGCCTGGGCGACGAGGACGCGGGAGCCCGAGCCCGTCAGAAGATGCTCATCGCCGCTCTCGAGTCCAAGTTGGCCCAGGTCGAGGAGCAGCTCGAACAGGAGTGCAGGTAGGTGCGCAGGGGACCGTGGTTCCAGCTATGCGGGTCGGAAGCATCGGAAAGGCATCGTGAGCGAAAGGGAGAAAGGAGATATTCTGAGATTGAATTGTGATAACTGCAGAACTCAACTCGGTACATTCATGACCTTTATCATAAATAAATTCCACATTAGTTGTTATTGTTGTGTGCCATCGAGTCGCTTGCGACTCATAGCGACCCTATGTACAACAGCCCTAAACTCAGCTCTGTCCTGTGCCAATC